TTATTATAGCCCGGAACCATTATTATAGGTATTCAGCGTTTCGGTCGGATCATTAATTACTCGGAACGAAAATTATGCGGCACCGGCCCTCCCGCTCACGAATCGAACGCCCAACCCTTAGGTAACAGCGACCGGTTAATATCGTAATTAAATAATTCTTATTAATTTGAGTTATTTCATTTAAATAATAAATATTGCTCAATGGGAAAATGTTTAGCTATATAGTAAAGGAGTTATGAAACTTGTATTAGTGAATATAGGCATTTGTTGGATGTAAGATCGTGGTTTGCACTGCCAAATCGTGCCAATATTCACTAATGTTAGTTCAAAAATCCCACAATATTTGCTAACAAGGTCATTATTACGGCCATAGAATTTACGAAATGCTGACTTTGAAAAATTCTTTGAGAGAACAGCAACGTTATGATTGTTCATATTAATTTGCATGCAAGTATCCTCATATAGATTCAGGTTTGCTCAAATAATGGCCCTTAGAGGTAGGATGTCGCCTCTGTACCGGGGAAAACGTTTTAAGACAAATGTAGAAGAGAAAAATATCATTCTAAAGAAGGTCAGTACCAATATGTCTCAGGCTTTCTTTATTTACCACTTTATAAGTTATATATTGCAAGTCTATACAGATTCCTCAGCAGAATAATATTTCGGACATGAAAACCAAACATATATTTTTTTTCATATAATAGAATGAACTTTTGTGATAAATTTCATCTTTAGGCGATTGCTTCTGTCAAGTCTACCGCCGCCTCGGCAAATTTATGAGACACTACAGGGAATAACACTGCGTCTCATTCGTGACCCATAACGCCTTTTAGGCAATTCTATCAGAAATTGTTAGAAACATGCAAGAGATGATTTTGAAATTCCAACACTACTGACTTATTGAGTGAAAAACAATTGGCAGAGATCTGAGATAAAACCACATGAGGATTCATTGAGCGATTTGTTATTATTGTGTTATTTTTTAATGATTTACTGTAAAACTTGCACATATTGCTTTAATATCACGAAATCTTTCCCAAGTACTTATATTAAAATATTACTTAGATCACCATTTTTGCGGCATCTTATATTTTCACGAATTCTGGTTATTGTTGTATAAAATCTTTAATAATTAAATTATACTCGATCATGAGTTAATGCGCAAAAATAAAGTTTTTGCAAAAAAGTGATATTTTTGTAAAGATATATGGCCTTTCCAACAATTTTGAAATCGTGAACATTCTCATTTATTATCTGAATATTGAAAAGTTCCTTATTAAATATTGATAAAGCAAATGTCTTAATGCCAAACACCAACGCAACACCAAACATGAAAAAAATGTTTTTGCCAACAAATGTTTATTATAAATGGAAATGTAATGATCTGGGAAAGTAACCTCAAACGGTTGTACTAAATGTCCTCCAGGCGTAAACAGCATTTGAAAAAGAACTGTATGTAAAAGTGTTAGTTTTATTCCTGTTTTCATGCATATATAGTCAATACAAAGTATCATAACATTAAACTGGCATCATAAAAGTATGCTTACATACAAATATTTATAGTTATGTGTACAGTGTATTGTCTATTTACAATGTCAGAATTTGTATGAAGACCATGGTCGATATTCTATTCATTTGGTAGTTTCATTGTGCAAAAGAAATGCACTTCGAACTGAATCATTAGTTATGTAATTGACATTACGATGAATTATTTATTAAGGCCGTATCCTGATCATTCTTATTTCTAGGGCATTGAAATTCTTACGCAGAACATAAAATTAACATGTATATGCAAAGAAAAATGGGGAGTACTCAACTTTTTTTCAAGATATTAATATAATTTTTATGTGAAAACTCCTGGGCTGTTTATATTTTATAATATGCACTAGCCCGCTACAAAAATGATACTGATGCCTCCTGGAGTAATGCCTAGGGTGGAGCTAAGTTGGTCTTATATTGAAATTTATTATACAGTGTACTAGTCTTTTTTACTCCCGAACTTCTAGGAGACAAACTGCATAAATGTGATAATGATTTTTTAGACATGGGTGAATTAAAAAAAAATGACCAAATGCATATTTATCAACCCACACTGAAAATACAGACAATGAAAATAGATTTCTATGTCTCAGCATATGTCTTTAGATAGTGTCTAAATACCTGCCAAATATCTCATTGATATCTCAATTAACAAAAAAGTTATGCCCAAAAATGATGCTAAAATTGTCAGGAGTGCAACACCTTTTTGTGACATTTTGAAATTTCAATATTTTTTGGAGATCTGTGAAATAAAAAATAATGCTTCATGTTGAAAATAAATACTTTCCTGATAATATTCAAAGTATTGAGCTTTAAATGTGGACTGTTGAAACTTTTGTTTAATCAAGTTGTGGTCATGGCTGATGTTTAAAAAAATGTTATACCATGTCAGGAGTGCAACAGAAAAAATGTAGTGTTGCCAAAAAAACATTGATTGTAAAATTCTGATAGAAAATTAAGACAAAAAAGAATTTTGGAAGTGTAAAATAATAACTGATATACATTTTAAAACTTAAAAATGTTATATAAATCACAAGCAGCATTAATGAGAGTCAAGTATATGTGCATACACAAAAATGTCAGGAGTGCAACATTTGATGTTTTGCTTCCAAGCATGAAAAAACTATAATCATTATATGATTTTCTGATTTTTATTTTGGAAAATAAAGACACAAAGAACATTTTTACCAAATAGATTTATCAATTACAGGATCTGTCTGTGCTTCAGATCCATATTTCTATGGTCAGGAGTGCAACACATTTTTTTAAAGATTCAAGTTCTGTGACGAAAAGACTTCTATTCATGCTTAGAAGTATTCATTAATTAATAATGATCTTTTTGTATAATTTAATGATATATTATTGACAGTTTTATTATCAAAATCCTTCCTTTTTCAATTTTATCAATTCAGATGTGTTTTTATCTTTTTTGTGATTTTTTTAATAAACGTTAAAAATAAACACACTAAAACATTGTCATAAAATTCAATTAATTCCTCCTCAACTTCACTGAAACAACAGAACAAGTTCTTATGTAATTTTCACTTCACAATTCTACTTTAAAGGCCCCAATGCTTTTGGTCAGGAGTGCAACAAATATGTTAGAATTATAAATCATCCAATAAGAATAAAAATAAAGAAAAAATGATGAGTAGAATTTTTCTGGTGGGTTACTGTGTTTGTCTTCTAAAGGAAAATATGCTTTAAAATATATTTTATCTTCTAAATATACATTTAAGCTAGTTTTTTTGGCATAAAATAGGGTAAAATTCCAGATAAAATGCGAATTTTAAATACTTTCATCTGTTTTAATTATGAAGTATCGGACTATAAGTATTGCACAATTTCATTACCACTTGATGTTGCCAACACTTTATGAATTTTTGTGTTCTATGGTTTTAATTTTAAACTTTACTGCAGTCAGGAGTGCAACAAAACTGCTTCATAATTACCGATGCTTTTTAACTATCTTTTCTAAAAAATAAGTTGAAAAAAAATGCTTGATACTATTTGATGTTTAAAACACTATGTCTATCAACAAATTACAGAAATTTTACAGTCAATTCAGGGAATAGTTTTCATCATATCACATATATTTTAAATACAATTTATATATATTACACTTTGCAAATAATCATGTTTTAAGGTCTTCAAAATATGAAAAACCTGCTGTAAACGATGAAAAATATCAACACGACAAATTGATTTACAAAGTAAGAATGTGTTATAATTTTTAAAACAATGTTAAATAAAATACATATCAGATGTCAGGAGTGCAACACAATAATGTAACATAGGGTGACTTCAAAATCTAGTATTTTTTGTAAGAGAACTCGTATATAACAATTCTTTTTTGGCTTAGATTTAAAGAATTGACTTGAAGGGACAAAAAAGTGAATTTTGGGGAATTTTATTGCTTCATATTTTTTTCATATTAAAACTTTTCAAATCAGAATTGAAAAAATAATGTAAAATAACAATCAAAAACCCAATTTTTGTCACATGTACAAGAGAAGATACTCATTCAAGGTCTAGATTTAATCATTTATACCTCTTTTACCATTTTGAAGCATAAAAAACTATAATTTCTTGTGATTATGTATTTTAGAAAGTCTTTTAAGGTGTAATGATATTTTCTTTTTTCAAAAGAAATTTTACTAATTAAAATTCTGAAACTTTTTAATCCAATTGTCTATTCTATTGCCACTTCAGGATTTTAAACTAGAATGCATTTGCAATATGATGATATAAGTGAGAAATATGTTATAAGTAGTTGAATTTTGCCAAAAAATTCAGTTTGGTGGTCATTTTTTTTGAATTCACCCACATCTCTATTTTAAAATTTTTGTCGCATATGTGTAGTCCGGTTCCAGGTGAACCAAAAGTGGACCTTACCTGAAAAAAATCACGGCCAATAGACCTTATCCAAAAATAACAATTTATAAAATAACAATTTGTTTCAAGTTGCCACTCCTTCTGGTTATTTCTCATGTATTTTAAAATCTTGATGTTAACGTGGACTGGATCAGAGTCAAATTTCCGTATACATGTATATATGTGTGTATGAGGGCGAGTGTGTGTGATTTCGATGATCGGCACTTCCTCTGCTATCACGATTTAAAAGTCTTGAATCAAGTACTAGTGTTATTTCAAAATGGTTCAAATTTTATTTAAGTTTGATTCAAAGTCTACAGATCTCGAATTGCTGAATAAATACAAATCAAAATAGAAATGTCTGAAAATCAAATGCACCCTTCTCTCTCACAAAATTTTAGGTTCAAACCAATGGAGCTTAGTGTCGCCAGAGACGAGGAGTATTCTAGTTATAACTTCCAATCATGTTTGAGGTATATTTTCCGGACCATTACCATTAATCTGCATTCTGTGTTGCTTGGAAAACGTTAGCAGTTGATGCAGAAATTCGATAGAGAAAGCAATCTTGTTAACTTTATATCTATACTTCGCTTCACTCGTATATGCTTACAGTCGTGTATCAAATTCACTTTGTTAAGAATCAATATCACAGGTAAAGTTTCAAAAAAAAAACAAAGATTCTCTACAGCGATATTATAGCGTATCGTCATGGATCCATCGCTGTGATGATGTTTTTCCATTTCTATTTTTGCCTTGTGGAACCTGCAAGTTATCTAGAAACCAAAGTCCCTTATCATCGATATGCCTGTTGTATCTATGGCTTATTAGGATATTTCCGAATAAGTTGAAAAATACATTTTCCGCTACGAAAATCAAGTAATAATTCCCTCTAAGAAATATGGATTTTTGTTCACAAACGTTGGAATGAATCACTAATGATCGGTAAAAGCTGTGACTTATTGACAAGTCGGGTTGGTGATGCCAGACGGGGGACTTAATGTTATCTGCTGGACAGAGCTTTTTGATTACGACTGTTAAAAAGAGAAAATCCAGGATTATTACTAATTAGTGCTGTCATGAACATATAAACAGCGTCATTTTGCATTTGTGATCTTATAACAAGACGATGCTACAAGCGCATGGGTATGTATTATTTTCACTTGTTAGAATAATCCAAATCTGGTGGTGGTAGAGGGTGTTCTTAAATCTACTATAGTGTTTCGTTATTTTTAGCCAGCGTGATTTTTTGAAACTCATCATTTAAAAACTCCAGTACTGATATTAACAACTATAATGGATAATATTAAAACTTACTTTTATTGCATTTTAAAATGTCAGCTAATTTCATCTGTTTGCGTAATTTACCATCGCGTGTACAAGTTATATGTTATGTACACCGAGCTAAAGTGATTTCAATTCCAAGTAATCTAAAAAAATAACTTCAGTCGCAGTCAGAATATGGTTGTTAATTGTAGGGTGCCAACAGATTCTTTTCTTTCTATTTAAAACAAAAAATCGCGAAATTCGCTCTTATTTTTAATGTCAATGTCATGAAAGTAATATAAATAGTATTCAGGGAGTAAGAGAAAAGTTCACACTGTGACGTCACTATAAATCTTGGAGCAAACTAGGCATCCAATTTTTTTATTTTAATTATATTAATACTAAATCTGTGCCTTATCTCGAGCTATTCTTCATAAATCTTACCCCTTTAGATGTGTCAATTTTTGTCTTATTAAATTTTAATTAATCTTTGGAAAGGTTTAGGAAAATTAGTTCGTTTAATTGGTAAAATTCTGCTCATTTGAAAAAGTTTTAGCAAATGTATCAACTTTGCTTCTATAGTTACATGATCGTTGCTATGGTAGGGTGAATACAAAACGTTGGTCAGTATGCGAGTCCCCCAGTTGACAAGTCTTGTTCGATCAAAAACTCTGGCTGATATCTCTCTTGTCATGTCTCTCTATGCTTTGATGTACTTACTTTCCATTAATGCATTAAAGGAACTTTTCCTGTATCATTTTGGTGCCATCCGCTACACTAATTAGAAGACAATATGACACAACAGAATTATCAGATTGCTTTGTGGGAGTGTTGTTTAACAAGTTTAGACAAAACATTTGTTAAATAGTACCGGTTTTACCAGCATGCTTTTAGTTTTCCACTGGCCTCTTCTATGCTATTGTGTTACAAACAGTTTTTCCTGTGGGAAAGTAAACATTTTAAGGATTTTTTCTTCTACATTGCATTTATAGATAAAGATATTACCAAATATCCAATGCTGAGTAAAAATACTTTAAAAGTATATAAAAAGAAGGAACATGAATTTTATTATTTTTGAAAAATGGACAATCTATAATTTACTTCTGTAGAAATTAACAAATATGAACTTAATACATGTAACTGGACATGAAGCAATAACAAGTTTGTGGTGCACCTAGACTCAAGTTTTTGATCAACAAGTAATCCTGAGCACTGTTGGAGTTAATTTTAATTGCGTCAGTGGAAAACCGACTTTAAATAAAGTTTATTTTATTTTAAGCAAAATGTTATTAAGGTTTGAAAACAATACTGTTATTTATGTTTGGCTTCTCTTTATTGTTGGGTTGTGCTATTTTGATTCAATAAATATCAATGATATTAATATAGTTCTTACTTTTAAAAGGACTAAACCAATTAAATATAACATCTCTATGATATTGGAACAATTGGAACCTCTTTTAATAGAAATTGACAACTGTGCCCCAAAGTAACTCTGCTGAAACTTAAACAATAAATCAGAATATGATATTTTTATAACGTACGATGGTTTAAATCTTAGGTTGGATAAAATATGCAGAAGTGTAATTATGGAATATTTCTTACTTTAAACGAAAACCTGTCTCAGGTATTGAGTTTTATTCTTGGTCTGAAGTTTCTTTCCATTAAATTCCATTGAGGGAAGTATATATGTGTTTGTATGTGGACAATTTGTCCTTAAAATTAACATTAGAAGCGTGTCTCTGTAAGACCATAAAAAAGAAGTTCTCCAGAAAAAAAGGTTTTCGAATTGACGTGTCAAAGGTCTACATGTACGAGGGGTGATCAAAAAGTTCGCGAACTATCTCTATATTTACAAAACCACAATTCAGATCAGAATGAAATTTGGCACACATATAGTCATACACATGTTCTATAAATAACAGATGTTAAATAATGTTTTGCTCCGTGTTTGTGACGTCACAATGTGAAAATGACGTCAATTTGTAGGTCACTGGTGACAAAAAATGGTTGACTCAGTCGTACTCGAGCAACGAACGGCTGTAAAGTTTAACGTATATCTTGAAATTCCTTTGGAGTAGAATATGATAATTTGTACAAGGTTTATGAAGATAAAAGACTTACCAGAAGTTCAATCATTAATTGGATTGATTGTTTAAGTAAAGACAGGGAGATGGTTAAAAATGATGTTTGTTCTGTTGCCCAGAGAAGGCAAGCTGGGGAAAAGATGTGCCATTAGTTGAGCAATTTGTAATGAAACATCGTCAAGCTGCAATTAGAAAAATGATTGAATATCTTAACAATAATATAATTATTAAATCCCTAAAATATTGTTTACTTTAGACTTTAAACATATGAGATATGATAAAAAGACGGCGTCCATACTTTATCCACATTGGATAAACGACGCTCTAGGGACAGAAGACTAGGGTTGTGATGGATCACCAAACTAATTCTGGGAAGGGATATCTTTATCCACCCATTCTATTGCCGAGATTTGGCCATTTCTGACAGATGGACTGTACTTGTTATAAAGAATAACTTGCGTGGTAAGAAATATAAGACTCGGAAAAATCTTTTAGCTTCTCTGAACAGTCTGCTACGGAGCATGTCACGTGACTGCCTGGATCACGTGATTCGCGCATAGGCAGAACAATGGCAGATGTGCATTAAAATCGGAGAGGACCACTTTAAAAAAATAATAAACACTGAAACCTCATTTTATTTCTTTTAAGGAAGTAATTCAATTAGTTCGCGAACTTTTTGATCACCCCTCGTATGTTTAATAACATCAAAAGTATTATATTATTGACACCTTAGTAAGCAAATTTTTCTTTGTTTTTTCTGAAAAAAAATTACATTACATCACTAATATTTTTTGTAAAAATGTCAAGAAATTAAAAACCTTTTGCCTGTCATTATCAGCGATAAACTTTGGCAAATGCTTTTTGAATATATATTTAACGCCTTTTTACTCAAGTCAGCTGTATTTGGCAAGGACTATGCATTATTAGTTCGCTAGTTAGTTCTTTGGATTTCCAATGCATAATTTTAAATAATAGTTTTTTAAAAAATATTGCTGAAAAGAAAGATAATTCCTCACAAATTAAAAATAATTGGAATCTTATTAGAAAGGAGAGGTTATAGGTGGCCTTTGTATGGTGGCCATATACACTTTAATTTGAAAAACGATACAGCGGATTGATACGGTCTTGATGCGTCATAATTGTGACGTTGGTAACAGACGTTATACGATGTAATTAAGCCAAACAATGCATAACAACTAATGTTATGTTATTTGGAGATATCATTCTCCTCATTTCGTTTACTATTTAAAAAATTTGTAGAAGATATGGACGTGTTTCATTAAGAATTCAGAATTGTTAAACCCTCCGTTAATTGAATCATGTTATCCAAAACTTTTATGCGTGTAATTAGATACCAAGTTTTTATAGACGTGAGTCGTAATTACGCTTAATACGCTAATCTTTCTTTAAAGATTAGAGAAAATCAAAACAAACGTAATTTCATTTACCCGGAATATGGGATCGATTCTTCTTCATACTTGGAAAATTATTGTTGAAATTATCGATTTTAGTAGCTTATAGAAATGAAACAATTTTAACGACCCTTATCCATACCTAAAGCCCACTGACATGGCGTGTATCTCTTATTATGAACGATCAGGGATTATTGTGTAGCGCTGTTTTTTTCCTGGATTTTATTGCTAAAAACGACTCATATCCACAGTCATCAGGAGAGGTGATGATTTAATAGTGATTTAGCAGACGGCACAGGTCCTTCTAGCGAACATCAGCCCTTTTGTTGCCGACGACAACAAAATGTAAAATCAGAGGTATTTTGCTCTTTGTAGAATAACAATGTCGGGGGAAAGTAGAACCGATTGGAGAAGAATAATTCCCTGATTTATTTTTGGAAATGGGATTAGCCGAGGCATTCTCCCTCTATGGAAACTTTCAAGGTGGGATTTTTTTTTCATATTTAAAAGAAAAGGTAAAAGGAAGTGTTCGAATTTAAGAAAATTTTATCTTTACATATTTGAGGCGTTTATGTGTTCTAAATCAAAATGAGTATTGAATGTAATTGTATTTATTTTATCGTATTTTGTGTTCAGTTGCTGTTTATGTGCAATGTCACTTCTGTTGATAATTTAAATCTTTATCGATTAAATCTAAGAATTAAATCAATGGACCTATTGACCACTGTGAGATTCTTTCATATTTTATAATTACACAGTAAGTTATTTCTCTATCCTCTTTCTTAAGATTTTTAATAGGCTTTAAGTAAAAGTTATCATTTCCTTGAAAGTTTGTTCAACTTAAGCAGAAAATTTTATCTTATGTAATTATAGTATAATTGTATTGTATATGAGTAGAGAAAATATTATGTTTTCTGTCAACACCGAAGATTTGACTATGTAATAGTATAATGATATTTGTACAGTAAACATTATATTGTCAGGCTTTGTTAACGACTAATAATTATTTCTAAGGCTTTCTAATTGGGAAAAAAATGTGTGTCTAAGTTTTGTTGTATCATGACGTAACTCATGGTCAATATCGTATTTTGCGCATATAAATTTTTCAAACTTCATTTTGCTCCTTTCAAAAGCAGTAGAGATATAATATGAAAAAAAGGAAGCTGTTCAAATTCATGGGCTATATATCAAGAGAATTCGATGCTGAGAATAGTTTATTGAAATTAAAAACAATGAAAACAAGTGATAGAAAATGTTTCAAAGGTATTGCATTACTTTCGATTTTCGTCATCGAAATGTATGGGATTAAATGTATTTTTAGATGTATGTATGTGACTATATATTATAAATGTAAAATCACAATCGTTTATATCTTATATAGGATAGGATGTATTAATTCCTATATACATGTATGTAAGTATGAATTACTATGATTATTAACAATGGCTCCTTGAAACTCTTTTGCAGCTGGCTTTGGTTTAGTGACAGTTATTTGGACTATCGGATTAACAAAAGGTATGTAATATTTTCCCCTTTGTACTAAAATGTCAATTCTTCAGAAAATGTTCACTCGTGAGGACATAACACTTATGGGTTCGTTATTCAGCGCCGATACTATACTCATCATTTATAAAAGTAAACAAATATCAAATCAATTCTCTAAAGCATCAACTGATTAGCAGCCTTTGACATTCTACATTTATAGTGGAGTAAATATTCCTCGAGCAACAGTTTAGTCATTTAAGTGAAGTAATGCTTTGAATAGAAATTTTCAAATATTTGTGGTTCAGTCACAATTTCCGATAACATTCCAAACACGACTGAAATAAAAGTTCTGATTTTTCATATCATTTTTGCATTGATTACAACCTTGTTTTTATATACTTAGTATCTGTAAGTTATAAAAATGTTTGTAATTTTCCAGTTGAATAATTTCAGGCATCGCTTCTTCAGGTGAATCTTTGGTATACGTTCCAGTAATTCAGGGACTGATGAACACGACATTTCTCTCGCCTCTTCCAAGTCAGAACGACACATTCTGTTTAATTACAACACCAGCGATGTCTCATAATGGGTCCTCTGGTGTTGCGAATATGTCATTGTTATCAAGTGAACTTGTCCAGCGTGACTTATTAACAACTTTAAATGGGTCATCAGGTATATATATATTTTAATTATTATATACATGTATATTCATATTATTAGTGGAAATCGATTTTGTACTTAGTAGAGTTACGTATCTATAAGGTAATAGACTGTTAGTATTACAAAACCATTTTTGTTTGGTTCATGGTAATTATTAATAGTTACTTAGTCGCTTATTGCAGAAAATAATAAAATTGTCAATATGATAAATATTGATCAATTTTTAAACTTGACTATTACAGAGTGGGGCACATTTAAACCAACCTTTGCAAAATTGTAATTTTGAATTACAAAGTGCGCTTATCGTTAAGTCTAATTCTTAGATTTGAAAGTAAGGAAAAGGGGGGAATGGTGTATTTGAGGGCCAGAGAAAGTTTGCCAAGTAAGCCTAAGTTCCGATTCTAAAGAAGATAATGGAAAGTACAGAAAAATAAATACTAACTCGTGTGTAAAGTTGATTTGCACCTTTTCTCATAGATCTAAATTGCAGTAGGACTAAAAATATAACCTACTTGCCCAAAGTTCACATGCACTAAAACACATCCGGGTGCAAATTTGCTTATCTGTAAAATCTGCTCAGCGTGTAAATATTTAAACACTAAATGCTTCTTTGGTTGTTAGTACGGGAATTAATGTTGCTGCTGTTGAAAAAGAAAAGCATAATCCGTGTAAGCAGGTTATGTAATTCTTGTTTTCTGCAACAGCTGCGATTTTAATTCCCATACTAACAGATAAAGACGTTTTAATTCCCGTAGTAACAAGAAAGAAAGACATTTTTTTTGTTTATGTATGCATGTACAAATAATTATTTAAAGTAGGATGAAGTAGATAAAATATTCTGTTATTGATATGTACATCATTGTACGTTTCATTGATGGAAGAGCCAGTGCTTTATAAATCTGTGGAGGTGATATGCATAGGTGGTGTTAACCGACTGATGAACGAACAGAAATAAAGGAGATAATATTCAGTGGATGTAAATATGCGCATGTGAACGGGGCTGAAACTCCGATAATGAAATGATCAGATTGCAACACTACAGTTGAATTTTAGGACTGCAACTCGAAAGGACCCTAAAAAATCTGATAATTTTTCATACAAAACTGTGTTAGGCACATATTCATTTATAAACTTATGTATGCAATTCATCTATCTTATGTGACATATTCAAACATGTGAACGTGTAGCACAATTTACACACACGTTCAAGTATTAAAATTGTCTTCCAAAACATTTTTTTTTCATTTGTTTAAAAAATAAATCATTTCCTTATGAAAAAGGCGAAGTTAAAGAACAGTGATCGATCTAAAAAAAAAAAATAATAATAATAAAAGAACACAAATTTGTGAACAAGGCATTAAACAGGACCCCGGAAATTTAGAGACTGTAGATAAAATATTCAACATAGAGACACCGAACATCGAGAATAAAATATTCAATGTAGAGACTAAGAATAGTACTACATTCAATTTAGCGGAGGATAAACTGAGGACACAATACAGGAAGTCTTCCAGTAGAATGTGTATAAGGAAACGACTATAGCTGGATGTTTCTTCAAGACTGATATGTTTATTATATTTTATGTACAAGTCACAAAAACTACCAGCCTGCCTAGGATAATTAATGATATCTTAGACTGGGTCTTCTCTTGGTTCGATAATTAATACAGCAATACATAAGCTGCTTCGACTTCATCATCTTACCAGAGGTTTTATAAAGTAATCATGTAAAAACTAATATTGACTTCATCATGGCAAAACAGGCATTTTATTACTAAAAGCTGACATTTCAGGCAAAATAGTCAAAGCGATTACACTTTTTGGGCATCTGTAGCAAATTAAGGAGAGATGTACAGGAATGACCAATCAAACTGGTTGACTTAAATAGCTTCTGCAGCTGGGGTTCACATTTCAGAGTAAAATCAGTTAACGAAGAAAAGAAAAAAAAATCTTTTCCGAAGTGAATCTTGATTCTGATATTTAATTTTGCCATTAAATTAAGTTTTGTGTAGTGAATTCCTTTCGTGTTATGATGCTACTGCAGTTAAGACCAAAATCTTCCACTATTTGACATGAAAACATTCACCAGCATTAGTCCTTTTAAAGTAATTTTATTTCTTGTCTAACTTATTTGGAAAGGTATTCATTTACGGCTCAAGATAAAGTGTCCCATAAAATGGCATTGAAACGGAAGTAGATTCCATAGGGAAAAGTCGACAATGTGTTATGAGAATTTAAAATTATAAAATTGCTGATCAAATTTAATTGATTACTTTTAATGGGCATTATGTTTTAATTTAAGCAATGGATTATAAAAGGAACTTGCTTTGTTATCCTTTAGTTCAATTCATTTTACTAGGCAATGCTGACGTTGATGATGGGTCCAGTGGAACAAAGCTTGAATATTAAATGCGATCTATCCAATTAACAAACTCCTCTTTCCATTCAATATTAATTTTTCCGGTATCGGCAACTCCTTCGTTTTCGAGTTTTATCCCTTTATTCCTTGCAATTAATCCTTCTAAACAATTTATACACTCCTGTGTCTGGCCAGAACTATATAAGAAGAATAAATGCGCTTCTTAAACGTTGCGAGGTCATTTCCAATATTCTATCTAGGTCAGATGGCGCTGGAGTAATTCATGTCCTATTCGAATGTTCTCCAATCCACAGAAGGACACGCGTTCACACTACTCAGTACCCTGGCAACATATTTTTCGAAAAAAATAATCTTCTGAAATTAATATCGTCTTTTCATTAAATGTATTTTATTTTGTTATATGGTACTAGTATACAACGTATTGTTTCTGATTGCTAGCAAGAGCACTAACAAATACCTTAGTCTTTTTTTTTTTTACTGGGATGCGCATGCTTGAATTCACGGTAGGATATTCATGTCAGTTTCGAAAATCATCGGAAAACATATCTCAGTTTTGTGTTTTGACGTCTAAACTGTATTTCAGAGATCAGTAAATAATAAAATATCTAGCTTTTTGAGATGCTATAAAATGGTATCACTCCAGACTGAGTGCTGGAATATTTTAAACTTGAGGTGCCTATTGGTTCCACTGACCTCTGAAAATGATAGGATCTTCCATTTCTACATTAAAGTTAAGTGAACTATACAATACTTGGAGCACTTTGAATAAACACACGTACTGCTCTTTGAATACACACACATACGTTTATGCATAGTGATGCCATCCCGAAGTGAAGCACTGGAGTTTCACCATGTGGAATTAAGACATCCCCACCTGTGCAGCACTGTCCAGGTATTTTGTTTTTTTTTTAGAAGGGGGCAAGCATAAAATAATAGGAAAAACACATTAAATTGTTTCTTATATAATTATGTTAGGAGAAAAAATCTGAAAATTTGAAGGGGGGGGGGGGTACAAAGAAAATAAAAAAAATGGGGTGATGATGGTTCTCGTTTTACTACTATATTGTGGGCAGGTTTGAACATAATGGAATGAATGAAAATACATGTCCACGCTTTACAGCCAGAGAGCATTCTCACAACGGGGGGTAAGTCCTTTGGCACTACATGTGCTTGTCTGGTGTCTACCTATTATTAATTAAACGATTTTGCAAAATAAACCAATGGTTCAAAAACCTGCTTCTGTGTATAGAATTGGTTACAGCGCTAGCTCATCCACCTTTTATTAAAATGATAAGCTTGTTTCTTCTTTCTATTGTTGCTGATATGGATGAAAAATTAAGTTTCGCTCTGTGACCTGATGTCCCGATTCTGTTTCCGGCGCCTCGTCAAACCTGAAGTTAAACAGATTCTATAGGTACATGTAGTAAGTGTTCTTTGTCAAGCGCCTTTCAGACATGACCTTTAAATTTCCGAGGTCCCACGTCACTGTAGGCGATTGCAAAATGCAAAAAATCAGCTAAAATCCGGCGAGGTCTCTACGTACATGAGAGAAAATTCTCGAATGGACTTGAATTAACATACAATCAAGTTTGCATAGAACAATTAATCATTGATAGATTGAGGTGCACTAGCTGTTGGACTCTCTTTTTTCATAATGATATGTCTCATGTCAACTACTCGCGGGTTAAGTTTGAGTTGTTTTATTACTTCTTTGTAGTTGATCAACATTTTCACGCAGCACAATATGTTGTTGTAAGGACATTTTTAAGAAAAACAAAAGCAGAAATATGTTAAATTTTTCTTTTATTCGCAACTTTTAGTATTTTCATTTCCTTGGACTTCCAAATAATTTAAAAAGTATATGTCAGCGAGGGCACTGACACTGGGGGGGGGGGGGGGCTCTTCAGAAAATTGATGATTTTCCCAGCACCGAGGAATATTATTTTCTTTTTTCATATGGAACTAATTTAATAAAAATGCCTCAATTTTAACAATCAAATTAAACCATAAATTAGTAAACAGGAAAATCCTGTGAGCTTTTTTTCGCTATGCAACCTGTGCAAACGTAAGCACTGCAATTACCAAGTTATAAAACATCTCAAAACTTTAGCTACAATATTTTACATTATGACACTGACAAAATGTTAACCCATATCTGAAGTACAATAATTTACTTTCAAACTTCATTTCAAAGGGAGAGAAAATACTATTTTCGATTAAAAAATGACAGATTATCGGGGAAAAATGTTTTACGGTAGGAATTAACAAATCACCGTGTGGCATGAGCAGATGCAGGGACTCATCCCCCTAATCCTGGCACTCGTCTTAAACCAATCACATATTGTAGTTAGTGATTAAATACGATCAACCATTGCAGTGATTGAACATGTAAATACTAGTATTTACATTAATGGTTCTTATCAGAATTCGTGATTTACTGATGTAGTATTAGCAGAAAATCTGCGACGTAACAAGACTTTTTCTGAGAGGAAAAAATCCATTCATTAAGCAAGAACGGAAGCAAGTGATTCCTTAGTGTTATTGACTTTTGGTTTTTTGTCTCCGCAAATAGAATTCTTAATCTAGAGATGACGTGGTAACGGTCTCCGCTGTCTTCGAGTATACACACTAGAAGGAAATAAATTCAAATGAATAGTAGATAATTACTGTGCCTTCTTACGTCCATCACAGTTGATCTAATTAGCCATTTTTTTCAAAATCTCCCAAGATAGTATTATAATAGAGACAATAATGTTCAGTGCACAGGGATCACATACTTACATGGTACATGTTTTACAATCAGGTAGAAATATGTCTTTCGCCGTAAGCATTACTCGGTGAACGGAAGAATTCGAAGTATATATATACATAAACAAGCATTTCCCTTGATATGTAAGGTTTGATTTACAGTGAACTGTTAGCTAAGTTTCTAATATTGATCCATAAGTAACATTTCTGGTCATGTTCTTAACATAATGGTTTTATTCATCAAACGACTTTTAGTTCGTTTTACTTTTATGTCACAATCTCTTTTTCTGGCAAAAATAGCACATTGATGTAAAAAATACAAATGTTACATTATCCCGACATTGAAATCAACGTTATGTTAATGGGCGTTTCCTCTGAATAGCAGAAAAGCGATACATGTCTTATTATATAAATGTTATTATAAGATAACAGAAAAAAACTTGACCAAGAAAACTCATTTGAACAATCTATAAATCATTTATTCTATTCTTATTTATCGCCATGATTATTGTTGCCAAAGAAACTTTGGTGTTTTCCAGCAGAAAACAACAATTATCAAAAACGCTCAAATTACCAAACCTTGTAAGGTTTCAACTGCATCTAATAGCGCAAAATGTAATCATTATCTTTTGTGAATATTCCATTGCTAACTGTGAATTAACGTACGAGAAAACATTTCAAACCTTGTGATGGTTTTGTCATTATTACCATTTTCTAAGATATTTTCTGTAGATTCAAAGCTCCCTTAATTTTGACACAGTTCTTTCTTGAAGGACGCAAACAATGATCCCTTTAAACAAACGTTGTTTGCTCTTTCTCCAAGTTTCCTTTAAGAAAATCATTTGTACTAAGAACACCAAGAGCAAGTAGCGACACATGGTCTTAAAAAGTAAAGCATGTTCTTTAGGATGTGCAATTTGAAAAAAGATTAAATAAAATTAAGAAAATGAATAAAATTAAGAAAATGAATTACATGTATATTTTTGAATGACTTATTCATTGATAAATTTTTCAGAGCTTTTTCTGTAATATTGCTTACCTGAATGAATCATAGCACAAAGAACAGCCTTACATTACACGTTGATACATTGAAAATCATGAGAAAGAAAAAGTTTCAAATTACTTTGCATTTTTTACGTATGAAAAGCGGGGAACAATGATGCCATAATCACGATATTCTATCTATCTATCTCTGTCTCTCTCTCTAATATATATATCTATCTATCTAATGTTAACTTAAGTCTAAATTCGGGGTTATTTTTCTTCAATTTGTAAATCAAGGCAGGCTACTGACGAATTAGTTGATGTTACAGGAATTTCAACAACCTCGTTTAAAGTCAGTATGTTGTAAATTCTATGGTCGTAATAATGGCATTATTAGCAAATTCAATCTATCATTGGCTCTTATTTTGACTTACATATTTCATACCAATTGTTAGGCATTTGTTTCTGTAGTAAATTTGACTATATATTAATCCGTTTACCGGATCAATACATAAGGCTCACGGCGGATCCGACCATTCAGCAGGGGATGCTTACTCCTCTAGGCACCTGATCCTACCTCTGGAATTTCCAGGGGTCCGTGTTTTATGCTCTGTTTACAGATTCGTATTGTTTGTAGGTTTTCTGAGATCGATCAATGTTCGTTATCTTCAGATATTTCTTTTAAGGTTTTTAAATACGTTTGCTAAAATATGATGATATAATTCATAAAAGCTGATATAATGTGTAATTGAAACCAACATGTAATAAAACACTGCACAAAATAACTCAAACTGTAGTCTGGAAATCTTGGAAGCATAATCAAACAGTATTGTAAATATTTTGAAACCAAAAATTTGATTTTCTTGCAGGAAACCTTCTCATACGAAATGTAGTTCTCTCTCTCTCTTTTTTTTTATACAGTACAATTTTGTTTTGGTTTTTAATAGAATATAGTTGAATTTGCATTGTAGAATCCAAATAAATTATTATCAAAACTAAAATATGCAACATTTTTAATTCAGAGCTCCAGAAAAAAATTCCTCAAAATATGAGGGTCGAATTTCTTTTAAGGGTAAACAGAAACTTATGCTCAAAGTACATCATCTGAATACTTTGATAAGAAAACAGACTACATTGTGCAATGGTCACATGTTCACAAAGCTATTATAATTAATACAAAGCAATCAGGAACTAAATTCTGGCTTGGCTGAGAAAAATAAGGTAAAAGTGAAGATAAGCCGTGACTAAGGAAACTAGGAATTCGCAGTGTTAGGAAGCATATACCGAACGTAACAGAGAAACTGATGTGAACTAGTCAGAAACTAGAAGAGCTTATGCAACGGAAGTGTCATGTATGACTAACATAATATTGTATACAAAAAGACTACACTAACATACATAATTTTGTTATTCTTTTTTTAATTTGACAAACGTTATTGCCATGATAGTAATTATATAGAAAAAGGTAGTAGCAACGCTTGAACTCCCACAGTTTCAGTCCAATTTCAATATAACTTGGAACACAAGAGGATTGCACTAAAATATAATTCTATTACATGTACATGTATATCGGATTTTGATTTCAACAGTGCATACTCAGTAGTAATGATAAAGGTGAAGATAAGAAAAAGTGATCGATCTAAAAAATAAAAAACCTACAAACAATACAAATCTGTGGACAGCGCATAAAACACGGAACCGTGGAAATTTCAGAGGAGGGATCAGGTGCCTAAGAGGGTTAAGCGTCCCCTGTCGACCAGTCACATCCACCGTGAGCCCTAGATATTGATCAGGTAGACGGAATAATCCACAAGGCCTAACCATTTGTATAAAAAATGTCAGGCAAAATGCAACCCAGTGATAGATTGCTAACAAGATCATTTTAACGACCATAAAATTAACGAAATGCTGATTTAAACGAGGAAAGTTGACATTGGAAAAGCTGAAGGCATAGCATTTATCACATATAGTTTAGTTGTTGGGTGTAACTAATTTTAATGGAACATTTTCGTTTGAACTTTTACTATTGTCACTTCATACCTAGATAAACAGGTAACACAAATTATTATGCATATTACGTCGAACAGAAATTTGTTTATTCATGATTTTAGTTTTCAGTAAATATTACATATTCATGTGGACTGAAAGATATCAATCGATTCAAATCTAGATTCACTGATTTGAAATTACATGTATTTGAAATAGAGATACATGTGGTTTGTTGGTATTTTAGAATGGACATTTGATATACATATGAAAGATTACAAACATTTTCTGCTCAGCAGTTTGTAATCCCCTGTATGAAATAGGGCCTAGACATTAATCCTGTAAAGTTTGCTGGTTTTTCATTTTTAAAAAAAGTATCTTTCAATTTTAACTGTAGATGTGATTATGTGAAACATTGAAAAGGTATCTTTTTCTTATTTTTTACAGGAGGTGTTATGTGGAAAAACAATTTCGAACACTTGTATCTCGTGCAGAAGATGGGGGACATAACACCTTTGTATGAATTTGTAGACGGTGTGTATAGTTACCTTGTCCCCATCAAAGTCTTCAACGAAACCAGAATATGCTTATACTCGGGATTTAGTTCTGTGACATATGAAATTTACGTTATAAATTCTACACTTGATCCTGAGAGTTTTATATTCAAGGACCAACAGGAGCTACACTCATTCAGTTCACACTGTTTCTTTTACAACAGTACAGATTCAGATATTATTTTAGTGAATAGCTCAAAAGCTTTTGGTGTTCTGATAATGGAATCGGAAACGCTTCAAAGTTGTTGCCCCTATAGAGCCTTAGAAGCAATCCCAAATATAATGAGTGCAGGAACAGAGTTTGTGTTGGTCACTGAAGAGGACTCGGAAATACTTATGATGGGTAAGTATAGCTTTCACATAAACATCACTTTTTAAATTACTGAAGTACTTTTTCCGGCGTGGTACTAATTTACGCAACATGTGTGTACGCGGTCACAAGTTTTCTGCGGAAATTTGTCCCGACGCACTTAAAGTACATTTAAGGCACAGTGGCAGTCTAAGGAATCCGCTTAATTTTCTTCCCGCGGATTGAACAGATTGATTGTATGTTGTTTATCGTCCCTCTCGAGAATTTTTCACTCATATGGAGACGCCACCACTTGCCTATGGAGAGCTGCAAATTTTGTTCTATACTCGGCATTTACGGCCATTGAGCAGTGAGGGATCTTTTTTCGTGCCAGCACCTATTGCGACACGGGACCTCGGTTTATACGGTCTCATCCGAAGGACCGATCGCCACGTCCCACTGTGGGATTCGAATCCGCGACGTAAGGCTAACTCCTTACTTCGCGACTCTAGAGCAGATGCTCTAACCACTGCGCCACGCGCGCGACGCGGATTGAACAGAAATTGTGATTCCGCGGAATGTTGATCCTGTGGAAAAAAGTACGTTTACAACACTCTGCATTTTCACCTATCTGTTTAAACCCCTAGAGGTAAATAATAAGCAACAAGCATAATTTATAAGGGAGAATGGTCTGATAAATCCAATACCAGTTCAATTCTCAGAGACTTTGAAAAAGGAATCAGTGGTTGATTCTATGTTAGAAAATGTTAAATGTGAAGTTTATTTATCCATTTTTTTTTCAATATTTCTAATATGGTCTTCCTTGCAAATTAAGAGAGCTTGAATTATACTTGATAATTAAGCAGTTTTAACTGCATCTTTAAGAGGGACCGACCCTCTCTTAAGAGAGAGAACTTACCGAGTAAATAATCCTAAAATATCCATTAGTTTGTCTAACCAGAGTTTAGTAATGCACCCTGAGAATAGTCAGTTCAAACAAAACGAACGTATGATACAAACATCAACATCTATTTTCTTTTGCCAATATTTTTTAATATATTTATTTATAACATCTAGCGTAAAATATTTGCGTCTATTTTTTTATATTTTGCAAATTGATAATATATAGCTCTATCTTTGTATGAACAATTTTAAAAGTGCACTAATGTATTATGTACCATACATAGAATGTTGTAATCGTTACATTTTTCACTACAAAAAAAAATTCTTGAAAGAAAGATAACTCTTGCTGATAAAAGCATTTTTTTTTCTTGAAGAATGATGACATTTTTTCTAGATCTTGAAGAATGATGACAGTTTGATAATCTGACTTAAAAAGCAGCGTTCATTATGTTTTCTCGTATTAATTTGATACGTTTGAAACTAAATTTTATTATTATTAATTTTTTGTGTGATTGTAAATTTTTCCTTTTCTTATTCTCTGTGTCAAACTTTCTTCATATCCTGATCAGATATAACATTTATTTCTGAAAAAAAGAAGCACCGCTTCTTACTTCTATTCATTTCGAAGCTAGTGCTGTAGTTATTTATGAAAATCAATATTTTGTTTGTGAAATTTATAGCAAAGGCCATTGGTCTTAAAGATGTCAGATTAATGTGAAGTTTTAGAGATATACCAATGACCTTCCTCAGTGCAGGAATCGTTCTTTTTTATCATTATAACTCGTCTCCACATTGTTTAAGGTCTTGTATGAAAGACCCGTAGCTTTCACCTGTAATGGTGGAGAATTATGCGATGAATCTGAAGGCCTTGGTCTTAGAATTTTAATATTCACTTTCTGATCTCTAGGATTATGAATAATTCATGTCCATATTTCATAGTGTAAGTTCAAGTTCATTAGTTTGTGAAGCCACAACTAGGCTGTCAATGATCTATTCACATGCGTTCATTTTTATGAGTATGTGAGCTATGTGTCCTATAGGCCTTTTTGATCCAATTTTAAACAATGCAGGAATATGAATTTTCTGTTAGATGTATAGATTTTTATTGTTTTAGTGTTGTAAATCTCCTCTGTCTAAAACGAGAACATCGTTTACTCATCGGGCTAAGCATCAGTGAACGTGAAATTCAATAATCTGTTAATCTAGCTTTATCTTTTGTTGTTTGACTTTATCGTCAGAAGAAATATTCGATGATTATTGGCAAACGAGGTACTTCATATTTTTAGCTATAATACAGACATTAAATAAAGACAAAGGAAGTATTATCTGCCTAATGCTTCATCAAGTCCTGTAATTTAACGTACTTTTAGAACAAATTGGCTATTGTTTTAATTAAAGAAAAAGGGACACAATTTCCGTTTACAGGGGAAAATAATCAGACCTATAAATCAACGCATTAACTAGTTGGCAAAAGTACAGTGTACTAGTTTCAAGTACTATATCACTTTTCAGTTCTCTTAATACTGTGATTGTACTGGATCGCGAAAATAAAGTGATTAACTTTGCCATCACCTGAAACTTTTTTTGCTTCGTTTTTAATTATTTGCTTTGACCATCTCTTCAAGTACTGTATTTATATTTGAACTGTAGAATACATTTTACTTTCTTGTTAAATAAAGGTACACGTTAAAGAAAATTCAAATAAAATGTACTTAAACTAATAGGCTTTTTTTTCCAAAACAGTGCATCATTTAAAGTCATTTTTTTCCCATTAAAAGGTGTATGTTTAGCGACATTTCCATAATTTTGTTTATCGTACGTCATTTTATTATCTTTCGCCGAGAATAATATTATATGATAGTCTAGGGTTTACATCCAGTCTAATAGCTGTATCTTTTGTCAGTGGACACAAACTTTGATAATGATTAAGAGACGATCTACAAATTTTAAATGCATTGACGGCTTAATGGTGCTCTTCCACATCAATGAATGATCAACTTCAAGTCGCCAAATAGGCGTTTGAAGTGCCTTCAGAATCCATTACCTTGGAAACCGTTTCCTTCCGTTTGATTGTGAAACAAAATATTTTCATCAATTCTAGATGGCTCTTAGTCCCTGTTATTAATACCAGCCTTTTGAACACTTGGGAAAAAATAGAAATAGAACTATTTTTTGTTTGATCTGAGCATAAAGATATTTTTATAGATAAAATTATAAAGCTCTGATTTCATTTTCAGGGATAGAAAATTCGGATATCAATGTCAAAACAACGGAAGAAGAATTTAATTTCACCGTTACATCTAACACGGTAAAGAAATTAAATGTGAGTGGAAACCTCACTTTGCAATTAACATCGTCAAAACCTATACAAGTCATGTGCCTAACAAACGTGCAGAACGGTGAGAATTCATCTTTTCTGAATCTCTTCACTTTGTTCCCAGTGGTACCTATTTTTTGCAATTGGTTGGAAATTTCTTCCAGCTGTTTTGACGAACCTTGTTTGATTGTTCTGACAAAGAAAACTAGCGTTTTCCCCTCCATATCGATTAATGGTTGGCTTGTAATGGCTAAAAACTACTCATTTGGTAATTACAATGTCCAGGAGATAACCAATCTTCGGAAAGGGCAGTATTTTTTACAAATCACAGACAGTGCGGGATTTGCCGTTTTTGTTTTAAACAGAGACCTAGGGAGATTGTACCAAGTACAACCCCTGAACAAGAACCAGTGCTCTGTCATTCATAGTTCCTTACCATCGTTACATTCATCTACAGCCATTCATTCAGAGATCGAAAGCGAAAATACGACAAACAGTAATGTAACTACTGCTTTTCGTGTTAGTAAAACATTAACACATTTTTCTTCCAACCATTCAGTAACTTCCAGTAACTCTTCTGATGAGAACTCGACATCATTATTCGTAACCTTGATACTGAACACAACTACCGAAAAAAGTGCCTTTGTAAATGTTACTTTATCTTCAGTTAATGCAACGAACACAACAATTCTGACTACTGATTCCTCCAAATATGGGAGACAGGATAAAGAAATGGAGATTGGTGGGTTAGCTTTTCAGTCTCAAACAAATCAAAACACGTCTAATGAAGGAGCCCCAAGCTATAATATATTTCTTCAAGATGCAGAAGAGGACGATAATAGTCAGGAATATATGATAGCAGTGATTCTCTCCCTTTGTGTTGCCATATTTGCTGTTATTGCAGTGATATCTTCTTTCTTGCTAATGGAATTTATTTCGAGACAGAAACAAATAAGAAACACGAAAATTCGACCATTCGTGTCATAACTGAAATAACTTGAAGATACGTTGTGCTTGCTATGACGTAAATATGTTAACTCTTCAACTGTGATATACGTAAAGAGTGTAGCTGGAATTTCGATTTTTAACCAGTTATCTGCCAAAGATTTCCTGCATAGTTGAAAGAAATCAATTTCTCTTTAGAACACCCTCTTTACTTACCCATCAGAAAACATACTGTTCTTGTCCTTTATAATTAGTGCTTCTGTTCTATTTGTTCAGCTGAAAGCTTTCCATCGATATTACTAATTATAATCCTTTTATGTACTTTGTACATATTATATGTAGAAAAAAAAAGTCCGTCGTTTCAAACGAGCATCTCGTACAATTAAGATTTCTTAACATTAACAACATATTTGTATTTTTAAACAAACCATGAGATGAATGAAATATGCAACAATAAGAGTTGCAATGAATTAACTATATTTATTTTATATAAAATTAAGTAAGTTAAAATATCTGAAGAATTATATAAATGTCCAACGGACAAAATGAATGATGTATTGCTGCAAAAACAACCACGGACTTAAAACAATGAAATAGAAAATTTATAATCCTTTCAACTTATTTAATAAATCATAAATACAATTTTGTGTTTTACTAAACTTTTTGTGCATTATAGATGCAATGAGCGGAGTTATGAACGGAATTATTTTGTCGTGAAATGTTAAGATAAACGAAGAGTTAACTGAGAGCAGAGCATACACAGACCTATGAAAATATCGGAGTTGGGATCACGTGCCATGGAAGAGTAAGCAACCCCTGTCGACCGGTAACACCCGTGCCAGGGGCTTTGTTCAAAAATGATGCCTGTCATGTGATTCACTCCTTTTAGGCTGGACAGTCGCGTGTCCTTACAGAAAGAAATTTGTACAGTTACCTTTATTAATCTATTACTACTTATTGTGGTAGGAGAAGTTTATTCTAAAATAACTTTCTAGTCATGTTTTTTTTTTTTCATGATACGGTCACTCTTGTGCATAGGACAGCTTACTGCAAGTTTTCAGAAAAATATCTTGAACGCATTAAAAATGCAATACTAGTATTTAAACTAATTTGTATAGTTTAATTTATAATCTTAAGATATAAAGAAAGTACATTGGTGAATAAGCGAGAAAAATACCAATGGTTCGACCATAAGAATACATTCGATCATCACACAATATCCTTTGATATTTTAAATAAACACTCACTCCTCCATGGCACCTGATCCCACCTCTGATGTTTGAGAGGTCCGTGTTTGCTCTGCTCCTTTTTTGTATTGTATAATGGACTTTTGAGCTTGAATACTGTTCGTTATCTCCATATATTTCATGTTTACTGGCATGTAAAGATTACGAACAGTAATCAGGTTCAGAAATCCATATAAACAATACAATCACGGACTTCATGTAAAAACTCCACAATTTGCTACAATCTCATAGGTATTGAAATTATTCGTCTCTGAAATAGCATGCACACATCAAAAAGAATAAAAATTACCATTTCTTTCTTCTGTAACCCAGTTTTTCAACATTAGTGGGTCTTTGTTCCGTTTTTTTCCAAGTATATCCAGGGATTGTGTAAAAATATGTTTTTCTGTTAACAAAATGCGGAGTAAGGACCACTAAACATTAAAAAAAGAGACCTTTATGACACAACATTCGTATCTTTCCTGAAAATATTTGATTTTCAAGGATTATATCGTAAACAAGATTTAAATGCTATTCATATACATAAAACATGTGTTGTTCAATGGTCAACGCGTCAGTCTCAATGGGAAAAAATTATTCTTTGGATTTTTGTTGCGTAAGTTCACCCCCCGGGGACATCTTTATCATAATTTTATGCCTAATAAAAATAAAAACTTTGCCCTAAAACTCAGTTCACAAATTAGTATCTAACACCTTATGCGTCAATTTTGTTTATGTTTAATTAAGGAATTTTCGCGTCATTAAATGAAAAAAAATGATCCTGTCTTCCTGACATCCTGAACATACAAAATAAGTAATTGTTTAAATTTTCTTAAACGTCAAACTACTTGGTTTTCTTTATAAATGACATCTAAATCAATAGCGCTTATCTGTTATTACATGTATATTTTATAAGTGCGGCTCAGTTCTCAAAACTTAAGTGCTGAAAGACTTGTGGTGCTGAAGCATTCTTAATCGTGACCTTTTAAACATAACATCTAATTATATGCCCACAAAGAGCTTAGAGTGTGTTTCTCTGGTAACAGCTGCTGTTTATGTGATGTTTTATGAATGAAGCGATTATTGTTCACACCCGCCTGGTTATTAATTAAGGAACAGAAAATTTACAATTTAGGTACATTTAGAATAAGTTTCTTTGTGTCATCAATCTCCGAAAGAAATGCTGAGAATGTTTTTCATTCTCTTTTCACCTGTTCGTGCTATGGTCATTTTGTTCGCCCAATACTGTTGAAGTATTGCAGATCTCAGAAATTAGAGTATAAGATAAATATTTCTAAAAGATATTGCATTTCCTTACAGTTACGTGTCCCGCCAACTCATAAGGTACGGTATTCGATACAACTGCTGTAAATAGGCCCGTACCACGGTTTTCAAATTGTGATCGGGTGGGGTGGGGCCTCAGAAAAAAAAACTGTCCAAACTCTGAAATCCTATGGCGTGGGGGGGGGGGGGGGATCTCAAATTTTGGGTACATTTTTCTGTCAAATGCTAGAAAGTGCGCATGTTTGTTGCTACAGCAACAGAAAGGGGGTATCGGAATGTAAATCAGAATTTACCTATTTTAAACTTTCAGAAAAGTCCACCCGGCGTACTACGGGATTGACTATGTATCTCTTCACGACTTACATTGTTATGTAACAATTTTGTTTTCCATTTTTGTTGACCCCCCCCCTTTGAATTTCAGAATCTTCCACATTCACAATCTTTCTAATGCTTAATAAATGCAATGAAAGCAGAAAGGTTTCTTTACTGAGTTTGGTTAAAAACAATTCATGCCTTTTTAGCTCACCTGAGCTAAACTTTTCACATTTTCAACTTCTTCTCAAGAACCACTGGGCCAATTTTAACCAAACTTGGTACAAAGTGTCCTTGGGCAAAGGGGAGTCTAAATTGTTAAAATAAAAGGTCAAGTTCCCTTACAAGCGGAGATAATTAAGAAAAGACAAAAATAGGGTGGGGTCATTAAAAAATCTTCTTCTCAAGACCCACTAGGCCAAAAAGCTGAAACTTACCTGGAAGCATCCTGGGATAGTGGAGATTCTAAATTGTTCAGACCATGACCCCCGGGGGTAGGGCGGCGCCACAATAGGGAATCTAAGTTTTACATTGAAATATGTAAGAAAAATCTTTAAAAATCTTCTTCTCAAGAACAACCTGGCCAGAAAAACTGAAACTTATGTGGAAGCATGCTCAAGTAGTGTAGATTCTAAATTGTTCAAATCATGACCCCCAGGAGTAGGGCGGAGCCATAATAGGGAATCAAAGTTTTACATTGAAATATATAGAAAAAATCTTTTAAAATCTTCTCAAAAACCACTGGGTCAGAAAAGCTGATACTTATGTGGAAACATCCTCAAGTAGTGTAGATTCTAAATTGTTCAAATCATGACCCCCGGGATAGGGCGGGGCCACAATGGGTATTACAAGGGAGGAAATCTGGTAAAGAACAGCATGGCCAAAGTTACTAAGGTGAGCGATGTGGCGCATGGGCCGCTTGTTAAACATCAGAATGCATACACATGTCGAATCAGATCTCAATGCAATGTATTTACGACTCTACAAGATAGCCCAGTATTTTACCCTCTTGAAGAAAACCTTCTGCCCTACATTGTGAATGGTTTTTCACGACCTATGCTGGTCTCCTTCACGCGAAGTGCAAAGCTTGAACAGATCCCTACATTGCCATATACCATTTCATATAAACTTTAAGTTTGTCTGAATGCTGGTCTGCATGCAGAGAAACACAAAGATTTTACCGCTGGTTAACGCCTATTTTTCTTCGCTATTCACTCAATCACTGGAAAAATAATTGTACTTAAAAAAATTGATGGAGTTTTGTCAAACCACAAGAGTCGTCATTTGTCGCCATTATACTAATTGTTCCATTATTCAGCTTCTCCGTGTAAAGAGGTCTGTGTTGTAAACACCAGGCTGGCAAGAACTCGAAGGTCATTTTAGTCGATATAACGATAAAAAAGTCTTACGTTGTGACTTTCCCAGAATTTTTTTAAAATCAATTTTACTCAAAAGGTTAAAGTTGAAATTTCAAAATGAAAGTAAGTATTGGAGGTAGTATTTGATGTCTGAACCAGGATTTTTTCAATTGACATTCAATATCAGAGGTGGGAATCATTCATCTATCACCATCTTCTACACATTTCAACACAATTCAGAAAATGAGAAAGGAAAAAGAATCAAGTCTTTGTGCAGTAATAACCAAGTTGACACCAAACATAAGATCTGAGTTTCTGAATGAATCCCTCTTATTGAAAAACAATTTTATATTGGAGAGGGTTTGTATCATTCGCAAAGCGTTTAGACGACCTAACTCATGCATTACTCCCAGTAATCAACCATAAACAACAAGTATTTCCAGCGTACGATTAGCATTACTTGTACGGAGGTTAATAATAGTTAAGTCTAGGCCGTTATGGGATATTTGTTTGTTAAGCAAAAATATGAGATATCTTTATTGTTTGACACTCTAAGGAAAGCTATTTGACATATACATACATAACAATTTAGCAATACAAAAAAAAATTGGTTGTTAATATTGGAATGCTGATATCCTTTCGTCGGCAAGAAATTTTGAATAATGTTCATTTGAAGGATGACGGTACAGAGAAAATCATAAAAAAAAAAAATATAAGGGGACGACTGTTGTGTTCTGAAGAGCTCTGGCAGATTTTGGAAAGCTATCCGTCATCGGAAATGTTGAAAATAAATATTCTGTCCTCAGCTGTCAAAACAAAACGTGTGGTGCGCCCCCCCCCCCCCCCCCGAGAGGAAATATTGCTCTTTTCCTTTTAGCTCACCTGAGCCGAAGGCTAAAGTGAGCTTTATGATCGAAATTTGTCCGTTGTCTGTTGTCGTCTATGAAAACTGTTCACATTTTCATCTGATGAAGAACCACTGGGACAATTTCAACCGAACGTGTCACAAAGTATCCTTGAGTAAAGTAAAGGGGATTCAATTTGTTCAAATGAAGGGCCGTCTTCCAAGGGGAGATATATTACGATTTTGTGAAAAATTCATGGCACCATTTAAAAATCTTCTTGACATTAAACACTGTGGTAGAAAAAAAGAAACTTGTTTCTTATGTGGAATCATCGTGTGGTAGTGTAGATTCAAATCATGACCCCCCCCCCCCCAGGGGTATTGTGGGGAGACAGTAGGCGATCAAATTTTACATAGGGATACATAGGAAAATTTGTTAAAAATCTTCTAAAGAACAGCAAAACCATGATTAACTGGTCATGTTTATATGGAAGCATCCTCCGGTAGAGTAGCTTCAAGTTTGTTCAAAACATGACCCCCGGGAATCAGGTCGGGTCACGA